GCACGTTTCAAAATATCATTCATATATCTCTGTTGCGACAGTAAACTACCATCATGTATATCCCAAAAAAAGGTAAAATACCATCATCACATTTAATTGTTTCAATTCCAAGAAAGAAATTACACCAGGTTCACCAAGATCCTTAATCTTAAATGCAGCAAATAATTCTCTTATCAAACGCGTCACAAGATCCTGATCACTTCCCATCACAAGTATATCATCAACATAAACCAAAAAATACACATAGGCAGAATCCTGTGAGTGGTAAAATAGAGACACATATGTTTTTTATGCTTGAAACCCAACATAGAGTAAAAACGTATGTAAACGATTAAACCGCTCTAGGAGCCTGTTTCAAGCCATACAAAGAACGTTTAAGCAAGCAAACATGATTGGGATATTGAGCATCAATATAGCCAGGTGGTTGCTTCATATAAACAGTTTCAGACAGATTTCCATTTAGAAAAGCATTATGAACATCAAGTTGCCTAATAACCCAACCAGAAGGTAAAGCCAAGGAAAGAAGCAACCTGACAGTAGTGGATTTTACCACAGGACTAAATGTATCAAAGAAATCCTGTCTAGACACATGATTGAATCCCTTTTCTACTAATCTTGCCATATGTCTATCAATGGATCCATCCGCCTTTCGTTTAGTGCGGAAGACCCACTTACATCCAATAACATCCATATTTTCCCGAGAGGGTACAAGGCACCATGTTTGATTTTGTAGAAGAGCATTAAATTCCTGATCCATAGCCTCACGCCACTCTGAATGTTTTACTGCCTAAGTGTAACAAGTGGGATCTAAGGGATAAACCTAAGCACTCAAAGCTGTGGGTGGTGCTTGAGACCGACTGCGCTCCATCGTGTGCGTCCGAGTGGTAGGTTTTATTGACCCTTTTCTCGTGGACGCCCCATGGGTCGAGTGGCAACAAAAGATGACGCCCGAGCAGCAGGTTGTTCGTGATCGTGAGCAGTCCCCGCAGGGGGGTCGTGCCCGTGACAAACCCCTGCTGGCTGCTCATCTCCGTGAGAAGGCCCCGCGAGGTGTCCAAGCCCATGAGAGGCCCTAGCGGGTTGGTCCGGCCTGACCTCACCACCTGTCGGTTCCTCCTGCTGAGGCGCCAGCACACCCTGTACTGCAATATTAATTCTGCCCATGGACTGATTTGAGGAGCATGTGGTGTTTGCAAAACATTCTTAGTAGCAAAAGGAAAAATAGTCTCATCAAACCGCACATGTCTGCATACATAAACCTTATTAGTCTGTAAGTCCATGCACCTATAATCCCGGAATGACTCAAGATAACCTAGAAAGACACACGAACAAGATCTGTAGGACATTTGTGGTGATTATATGGTCGTAGATAGGGATAACATAGACACCCAAAGACACGAAGAAAAGAGTAGGATGAAGGGGATTGTGTAACCTAAGATGAGGACTGAAATTATTTAAAACAGTAGATAGCATCCTGTTAATTAAATATACAGCAGTCTCTAAAGCAAAATTCTAGAATTTATATGAAACGGAGGCACGAGCCATGAGGATTAGACCCGTTTCAACTATGTGTCTATGTTTTCTTTCGACATGACCATTTTGTTCATGAGTGTAGGCACAAGATTGTCTATGAGTGATTCCTAACTGAATAAAGGAATGTTGTAATTTTTTGTATTCAGCTCTTAGGTCAGATTGGATGGATTTAATTTTTCTATTGAAAAAACGCTAAACCAAAGTACAGAATTTTTCAAAGATGGCATAAAGATCAGATTTTAATTTCATGGGATAATACCAAGTGTAACGGGGTTGATAATCCACGAAAATAACAAAATAACGATAGCCACCAGTGGATAACAAAGGAGCTAGACCCCAAATATATGTGTATATTAAATCAATAATATTGGGACTAGATGACTCAACACTTGGCAATGGGAATTAGGCAGATTTCCCTAACTGACACGCATTACATAGACTCGAATTACAATGAATAGAATTACTAGACCGACTAACTGAACAAGACTGAAGAATACGATGTAAGACTCGATGATGTGGATGTCCTAAGCGATCATGCTACACTGACTCGGATGCGTGAGCGGAAAGAAAAGCTGAATGAGACGAACTAGTGATAGGAAGCTTGTATAGGGTCGTTGTTCGTGTGCTTCTATTTCAGTGTGCACTTTTAATCCAAGTATGTTGGTTTCAGTTTGCACTGAATCATGCATCGTGTACACTGCTGATTTGTTAGTTTGCATGTTGTCATTTATGTCAAGTCGCTGTCTATTGTTAGTTTAGGTTTATTTGTGCACACTTGTGCTAATTTTTGTGCACTTTGTATTGTGTGGGGTTTTAAAGGTGTGCACTCGTGTTGGTTTTATTTGCGCTCAAATTGTAAACTTATTTATTAATGCACACACACACAATATATATATATATATATATATATATATATATATATATATATATATATATATATATATATATATATATATATAGACTTCTGCTTAGATGCGGTCGCGCCTTCCCGTGCGATCGGTGCGGTCGCGCCTTCCCGTGCGATCGGTGCGGTCGCGCTTTCCCGTGCGATCGGTGCGGCCGCTTGAAAAAGGCATCAATAGTGTTAGGAAAATGCACAACAATGAAATGCATAAATACACCAAAAGATGCACAACACACCCACAATAATGCACCATAACTCTCCACACCTAATTGTACATTTTCGAACACTGTGTGGTGCTTTTCATGCATACCTAACATTGTTGGTGCATATTTTCATAACTATTGGTGCTTTGGATGTCATTATATTAGAATCAATTACTTTGATTTTTTATTTTTTTTTGTATTTTTAAAACCTTTATTTCCATTATAGAGTCATACATAACTTAATATCGTAATCATTCTAATTCCACCCTACTATCAAACATCCAAAATACTTTCACCAAAATCTATACATTTACCAAGTATTTGATTCGCATTCCGATTCCAATTTCATGTGCGAATCAAACGCACCCCGACAGTGTATCAAATATTTTCTCTATATATACTTATTTAGAAAATTTTAATTTTGGTCATATGATTATAGGGGTTTTGTTAATTTCTGTATCTGACTTTTAAAAGTGTCAATTTAGTACGTTGACTATGCAATTTTTATCAATTTTGGTCACTCTGGTCAAATTGCCGACCAAATTTCACCGGAAACACTTAATCCTTCATTTAATCTATAATCTGAGGAGTAAAATCGTCTTTTGAAGTCTGGTAAAATCATCTTTTTCATGTCTGTTCCATCCACGTCGATACTACCTTTCTTCTTTGTCGGAATTCATGGGACTTTGTTGATAGAGCGGCAGCGGCAGTGGCACGAGCACAGTTGACAGATTTTCCATGGGATACGCTGTGAGGTTTTTATGCTTAAGATCGTCGCCGTCCCCGAATTTCCTTCCAATCTTGATTAACATGTGTCTAATGGAGTGGTGGTTGCTGAAACCGGGTTCGTTGTCGGCGACATATCGAATCGGGTCCAGAACCGGCAGATCCGGGCATGGAGGTGTGTTGTTAGGGGGCGTTTGGTTCAGGTTATATAACATAACCAAGGGAATGTGACATTCCAAAACTCACATTCCGGTGTTTGGTTCATATTATCTTAGGGAATCTAACATTCCCAAGAAATGTCACATTCCCTCCACATAGGATTTTGAAGGGAATGTGATTCCCTTCAAAATCTTAGGTAATGTAAGATAACCTTGGTTATGTTAGTTTATATATATATATATATATATATATAATTATTTTTGTAATTATATATATATATTTTTTTATTATGTTATGTTAGCATATAAAATAATTTTGTTTCTCAAGTTGAAGTTTTAGTTAATATTTTAAAATCATGTAATTATATATGATAGCATTATCTTATTTATTTATTTTAATTTTTAAATTTATTAAAATGTATGAAAATATGTTAAGGATATTATAGTGTGTATAAAAGATAACCCAAAACCAAACATGATTATATTACATACCCCAATTTTACCAAACACAGGAATCCAACATTCCCAGTAATCTAACATTCCCAGCAATCTAACATTCCCTAAGGTAATCTGACATTCCGTGAACCAAACGACCCCTTAGTGTTGCAAAGAAGAGTCATCATCATCATCATAGGGTTTTCTCTCGCGGCGGCAGCGCCAACGGATTTCTCATTTTAGCTTGATTTTACTGGGCTACGTTACCGGCCTTGAGGCCGTGCTCTCTCCGTTGCTTGTTGAAAAACTTCTTCTTCAACCTTGTGTTCCAGTTCTTCCGGGAAGTTGCGCCGCGATTATAATCGCCTGAATCCACCGCCAGCCGGGAAATTAGTTTCTGTAACAATCATATAACCCCACATGAATCCACCATCTAATGCAGCATATTAGCGAAAATCAAGGAAATTAAAAATGGGGAAATTGAGAATACAAATGTAACTCATCCATTGCAGAGATTAAGAAAAGAATCACTATGATCGATAAATAATGGAGTTACCTCACCATTATTGCCAGAAATAATGGAGCTTTCGATCAAGAGAGGGAGGTGTGAGGGAGAAATTTTCTGCTCACTTTAAATGACACTTTTGCCCCTTCCATTAGAAATTAATTGATGAGTTAAAATTTTCCGACAAAATTTAGCGGGTAATCTAAAATTAAGAAAATCCCTATATAGTCATATGACCAAAATTGAAGTTTTCTCTATACTTATTTTATTAGGTTTTAGTTGTGTGTGTATTTACTAACTTTTATTTTTTGAAAAAGGTGTATTTACTAACTAGTCCAGCTGAACTGGTAAAATTCCTTCATCACTGTAAATGTGTAAGTCCCCCTTCCTCACTCCCTCTCCATCAAAGAAGACTGAAGAAGAATAAAATCGAAAGTGGAATACAGAGAAGAGAGAAAAGAGAGAATTTCAAAGCCAAAGCAAAAAAGAAAATAATAATAATAACAATAAAGTTGCTTCTGCTTTCTCTCTCTCTCTATCTCTCTCTCTCAATAAATATGCACTCACACCGCTCCCCACCAGTACTGCCCTGCTATTATATATACACACACAATGGAGTAGTATCTTCTATATACACTTTCACATACTATATCAAAAAAGGCAATTTCTTTTCACAATAGTTAATAATAACACAGTAGTATAAGAGAAGAGTCTGTTTTGTTCTTTCTCATCAATCTCTCTGTACTGTATGTACAAAAACACTGTCATCTCTGTACCCTTTGTTGCTTTTCACACATCTTTCGCCGTCTCGGCCGCTCTGCACCTATAAATATATATATTTATCTATATCGAATCACAGTATTTAAGTGGAGGTGTGATTACAGAGATTTTGTTGCTGGGGGGTGGTGATCCGTCTTTGTCCATAATTTCTGGGCTGCATTTATTTCTGTCTGCTTTAGCTCTATGGTGGGTGTTTGAATTCCTGGCGAAAATTAAAGAACCTTTGAGCCTTTTTTTATATCCGTGCTTTCACTGTTTTCGCTGCAAACAAGAAGAAAGGTTCTCAAAAGAAAGCACAAATCAGAAAGAGAGAGAAAGAGAGAATTTTTTTCGTTGAGATCTGGGTTGAAGAAAGAGACGTCTCGAGAACAAGGTTAGTGATTTGGAGTGGCAAAGTGACTGAGCCAAGCCATGCTTGAATGTTTTTTCTAAAGTTCCAAACTTTTTCTCTGTATTTATATATGCTTTCGTTGTTTTCTTTTTGGGATTTTTCTCAAGGGTTTTGGTAATTCCCTTTGGCTTTCGTTTTCTGGGGAAGAGGTGGGGGACTGTGCAGTGGGTTTTCTTTTATTTTCATTTTCCCTGTTCTTTTTTGTCTCATTTTCTGTCTGTTTCGCACAGAGGTTTCTTTTTCTGGGATAAAATCGAAACACAACAATGTTGCCCCAGAAGCAAGCAGAGGAAGCTATTGTCTTGGAACATGATGGCGGCGCCAAAGAAGAAGCTGAGAACAAAGATGAAGAACAGTCCTTGTTCAGTATGAAGAGCTTTCTCTGGCATGGCGGCTCTGCTTGGGATGCTTGGTTCAGCTGTGCTTCCAACCAAGTATGCAATTTCTTTTATTTTTTATTTTTGGATTTCTTGTTTGCCCGTTTTAACCGTACAGTTTTTACACTCGAAGTTTACTATTATACCAAAAGCTATAGTTAGTAGCTTTATTTCGAGAGTCAGGGTGCTGGACTTGGTCCTTCAGCAGTCCTATCCAATAATTGATGGATTTTTCTGCCATTATTATTGTTTATTGTTCTTGTTAATATCAAAATTTCCAGTTTGCCACAAACTGCACATTATGATTATTTAAATTTACTAATAATCATAGTATTATTTTTCTAATTGTACCTTTAAAATATATACAAAACAGGTGGCACAGGTCCTCTTGACACTGCCATATTCCTTTTCACAACTTGGTATGCTATCAGGGATTGTGCTTCAAGTGTTCTATGGACTGCTGGGAAGCTGGACAGCTTATCTCATAAGTGTACTCTACATAGAGTACAGAAGCAGGAAAGAGAAAGAAGGTGTAAGCTTTAAAAACCATGTTATTCAGGTAATTAACTTTAATTTAGTGTAATCTATTTCATCTCTAATATATACATGGATAGATGGTTCTGGGAAAGCTTCAATTTTCCATTTTATTAAGTTTGGATGAGTTTAATGTGCAGTGGTTTGAAGTGCTTGATGGATTGTTGGGTCCATACTGGAAAGCAGTGGGCCTTGCCTTCAACTGTACATTCCTTCTCTTTGGATCTGTCATACAACTCATTGCTTGTGCTAGGTATAAACTAAACTACATTATTTTCCCAATAATGATAATATCATTATTGTTAGGATGAATTGCAACTTTATTTCCTGACAGAATGCTGGACTTGACCCTTTATCGGTCTCCACCCAACAATTCTCGCACCTGTCAGTTTTAACTGCACAGTTTTTGCTTTTGTGTGCGCCAGCTAGTAGGGAAGGCACAACATTATTTGCTTATAAACCGCCATCACGTTTTCGAGAGACAAGGTGGCTCTTTATTGGCCTCTACTCAACAATCCCCTAGTGACCAATTGATGGACTTGGTCCTTTACTGGCTCTACCGAACAATTATTATTATTATTCAAATGCTGAGAATCTGAATCTGAAGCTTTGCTAGTTTGTTGAACATAATCACTGACTGTTTTTCTTGATATGAACAGTAACATATACTACATAAATGACCGGTTAGACAAGAGGACATGGACATACATATTTGGAGCTTGTTGTGCCACCACTGTGTTCATCCCTTCCTTCCACAATTACAGGATTTGGTCTTTTCTAGGTCTTGGGATGACCACTTATACAGCTTGGTATCTCACCATTGCAGCCCTTGCCCATGGACAGGTACATATTTTATTGAGTTAATTAGGTCCCTCAAGTTTAAAAATCTTAACTAATTTGGTTCTCCGTTTGTTTTGCCGTTAGACATTCGTTAACTTGGGACCAAATTTGTAATTTCGCTATAGTCAATGGACCATTTTGGTAATTAACTTTTCAGAGGAAATGGTACATGTGATGACCGAAACGGTCCCTTGACTATAGCAAAATTACCAACTTGGTCCCGAGTTAACGAATGTCTAACGACAAAACAAATCAATGACCAAATTGGTTAAGATTTTTAAAGTTGAGATACTTAATTGGTCAAAAAAAATAGTCAAGGATCAAAATCGATAATTTTGTTATAGTTAAGGGACCATTTCGCTAATTAACTCTATTTTATTTTATGGCTCTCTTTTGACTAAAGACCATATATTCTCACCTAGCTAGTTCTGACTCAAGACCACCATGTTTAGTTTGGTACATGATGTTGACATATGTGGTCACTTTAGCAGAAAATAATGTTTAATCTCTCTTTCTTTCTTTTTAAAAAAATAAAAATAAAAAAATCAATCACAACCCCTTAGTTTACTGTACCAAATCACTTCCTATAATGGAAACCATTAATCTTAACAATTTGTATTTTTGTAGGTTGATGGTGTGCAACACTCAGGTCCAAAAAAGCTTATGTTATATTTCACTGGTGCTACCAATATTCTATACACCTTTGGTGGTCATGCTGTCACTGTGTAAGCTTCTTTATATGCTTTTGTATATTAATTTGTATTTATAAAGTCTTAATATTATACATTAAATCATAAAGGAGTGTTTTGTTATCCTTAGGTTCTATTCTGCAGTTTACCATAAGAGTACATAATTTAGGTGGTTACATTTGGTAAAATTATGGGCAGATGGGGCATCAAGCCTATCACATTGATTAATAATTCTACCTAACAAATATTCAATAATAAATTAAAGAATCCAGTGCTCAGATTCTTGTTTTTTACTGTATAAGTTTAATTTTCTGTACCTTTTTTTAAAAATTAATTTTAAATAAGATCTGAATTCATGATTTGCTATAACAAACCGAGTGGTGATTGATATTATGAAATAAAATTCAGTGAAATCATGCATGCAATGTGGAAACCACAGAAGTTCAAGTACATCTACTTGTTTGCTACATTGTATGTGTTCACCCTCACCCTTCCGTCTGCAACCGCCGTGTACTGGGCCTTCGGCGACCAGCTTCTCGACCACTCCAACGCCTTCTCCCTCCTCCCCAAATCCGCCTGGAGAGACGCCGCCGTCATCCTCATGCTCATCCACCAGGTAGGTTAGCCATTTCCGTCACATTTCGAATTGAAGTAATACTGCCTATTGAACCAGTGAGTTAAACTGGTGCAGCAATTTCAGACGGTTTTTGGGTTAACAATATGTTTTTTTTTTTATGGGTGCAGTTTATTACATTCGGGTTCGCGTGCACGCCGTTGTACTTCGTGTGGGAGAAGGTGATAGGGATGCACGACACGAGAAGCATTTGTGTGAGGGCCCTGGCTAGGCTGCCCGTGGTCATACCCATATGGTTCTTGGCCATCATCTTCCCCTTCTTCGGCCCCATCAACTCTGCCGTTGGCGCCCTCCTCGTTAGCTTCACCGTCTACATCATCCCGTCTCTCGCTCATATGCTCACATACCGGAAAGCCGCCGCACGACAGGTAACACATCATCCAGCACTAGCCAGTTGATTTTTTTGGAGCTCGAATCCCTGACCTAACTCTTATTCCACTATACCAAAAGTTATAACTAGTAACAAAAATATTTTTCTTTATAGACCCTCATCACATTTTCGAGAGCATAACAATTTATAGTCACAGGGTGTTAGACTTATTCTTATCACCCTCCGCCCAACAACAATTACTCTGCATCATTATCTATATTAAAGAGTTTACATAGAAAGAATCCAATCCAATCTAATCCAATCAAGAGTAAAAGAGAGAGAGAGAGAGAAGAAAAGGGCATTAAAGGCTTGAATAAAGAAATATTTTGGTAGAGAAGGAAGGCATAGGTGGTAGGTCATTTTCAATTAGTTATATGCTACAGTCCGAGCGTTGTATTATGTCTGAAATGAGCTGTCTACTTATTTGACTCCATTATTCTCCATGAATTGGACATATTTAACCATACTATGTATATCAACCATTGTTTCATTATCTCCACTACTAGTGGTCCCTGCTGGCTTCACTTAGGTCAATTTCGTCATTTTTCTAAAGTATACACCCATTCATTTCATATCAGGTATCAGGTACAATCACATATAATTTGTGTTACAAAAATCCCGCCTAGGCACCGATTAATCGATGCTAGGCGCTAGGCGCCCCTAGACCGTGGTGATTTCTCCCTAAGCTCCGGCCTAGCGCATAACTCGGCCGAGTTAACTCGTCCATTTTAATCGAGTTAGCCGAGTTAACCTGGCCGACTCGGTCTTGCTAATTTTTTTTTCATTTATATATATATATATATATATATATATATATATATATATATATATATATATATATATATATATAATATGACATATATGCACCTACACATTTCCACTGTTTTTCTTATTTTCCTAGGCACTAGGCGCTGCTCTACTGCCTGACTAACGCCTAGGGCCTATTGCAACCATGCATATAATAAATCTGATGAAACGTTAAACATCTTTTAACAACCAAGTTAATATAAATATATTATTTGCTATTTGATTGCAACTTTTTAAAGTAAATCATTTGATTTTGTTGATGATTGCAGAATGCTGCAGAGAAGCCTCCATTCTTCTTGCCAAGCTGGACAGCAGTGTATGCCCTGAACATCTTCATAGTGTGCTGGGTTTTAGTGGTTGGGTTTGGGTTTGGAGGATGGGCTAGCATGACCAATTTTGTTAAACAAGTTGATACATTTGGGCTTTTTGCCAAGTGCTACCAGTGCAAGAAGCCACCGGCCCTTCCGCCACACGCGGCGCCTAACGCCACCGGCCACCACTAAGCTCCTCGCCGGCGAGATATCGATAATCCGAACATTAATCTCTCTTTCTCCATCTTTTTGTATTATATACATGGGGAGGTAGCAACATTTCCCCTACATGTGCTGTGTGCTAATTTTTTTTTTTTTAGTATTTTGGTTTTTATATTTTTCTTACAATATTAGAGAAGATAGTGTGTTGATTTTACTTAGCCTATGCCATCGCCATTCACCCCTCTCTGCATACATTATTGGTGGTTGAATATTACACTCATCTTAATATTTCTTATCTCATTATTACTTGAATCTTTCTCAAGCGTATACTTAACTATTTGACTAATTAAAAACCATAAATTTTGATATATATATATATATATATATAAAAAAAAAAAAGAGCAGGTACCTCCGTCTCATTTTATGTGTTTGATTCGGTTAACGAGGATTGATTGATTTTTAATCTAATTTTTCATAATATTAAGTTTACTAGTATGCAAAAAATTATATATTTAAAAACTACATTAAAAATATTATTAAACACAAAAAAAAAAAATTAAAATTAAAAATAAATAAGAAATATTAAAGAAAATAAATAAAGAAGAAAGAATCGGTTCGATCAATTAATAGTAAGTATGATTGATAAAATGAAACAGATGAAGTAATAATTATGACGCCCCTTACATATTTATTCATATAGAAATTTTCAATTAATATTTAATAATTTATCTACATATTTATACTCAGTGCACAAGTACTTTGCAGAGGCAGGTTAATCGATTCCTATTGGGTTGAGTGATTAAGAGTCTCAATATCAAATACTTAAATATGCAGTAGATGAATAGAAGATAGAATGAATGCAGGATGATATCAAGATGTTAACATGTTGGATTCACAAGACACCAGTCCAAATCAAGATCAATTCAATTACTAAGTATATTTAAATAGAATGACATAGATATTTATACAATACGATCACCTCTCGACATCTATTAACATTATTCAAGAGTATCGCTAGAAATTGATGATTACGAGACCCTCAAGCTAAACAAGTCTTCTATGTTTCTGATCCTATTGATAGTAAGTGGTCAATTGTCTTATAAGGCAAAAGAAGTGTTGTTGGTGTTGATGATGTTGTGGATGAAGAAGAATATGACTACTTTGATGAAACCCTACCATTTCCTATTGATATTTAACATGTGACTTTGGGGGAAGATAACATTAATACAAGTTACATGCGTAGTGATCATGGGTAAGGATTGTGGATTGACCATCCAATAGTATAATTTCTAAAATGTAATCTCATTTGTTTTTTTTTTAACATGTATATATATATATATATATATATATATATATATATATATATATATATATATATATATATATGTGTGTGTGTGTGTGTGTGTGTGTGTGTGTGTGTGTGTGTGTGTGTGTGTGTGTGTGTGTGTATATATATATATATATATATATATGAAAAAACACATCTTAAAATATAAACATGTGAATTAAATGAAGCCGTTAGATCTTAAGTTGGATGGCTTGGATCTGGGCGTGATATATGTGGGTTTGTAGTGTTATTTTATTAGGTTTGTATGTTTAGGGGGTAAATATGGTATTTGTCAAATGTGTGCACGCTCGTCTCTAACTGTGTGCTCGGGTTCAAAATTACATTCTTCGTCATACCTTTCACTGCCCTAAGAATATATTACTTTGTATGTTAAATTTTTTAGCTGTGTGGGGGTTTCTATTGTGTGCACAATAGTCTCTAACTGTGTGCACAGATTCGAAATCGCATTCTTCGTCGTTTATTCAATGTCATAAGAATGTATTATTGTGTATGTTTGGTTTGTTCAGGCGTATGGAGTTTTTGTAATGTGTGCATGCTAGACTATAATTTTGTGCACGGGTTCAGAATCGCATTCTTCGCCGGAAAATCACGTCTGCATTTTCTTTGTTGGAAAATCGCGTCTGTATTTTCTTTGACGGAAAATCCTTGCCGTATGGGGGGTGAATTCCCACTGGTGGTTGCGTTTCTATTTGTTAGTTTTAATCATACTATAATTACTCTTCATTAGTTTAGGATATATATCATATTCATATTTTTACTCTAATTATGATACAATGTAATTGTCATAACTGCCCTTTTAATCATTAACTAGTGTGATGGAGTAATTTCTTTCCCTTCAATCTATACCATAAATCTACTCTAATCTTATGACACATATTTGTCCACGTTTGTATTTTAAAAGGGTTTGCATGTGAATACAACTCTATATATATACATATACATATACATATGTGTATATACATGTATATATATATATATATATATATATATATATATATATATATATATATATATATATATATATATATATATATATATATGTATGTATGTATGTATGTATGTATGTATGTATGTATGTATGTATATATATATATATATATATATATATATATATATATATATATATATATATATATATATATATATATGGTCGCGTTCAGGTGCGAATAAGTGCCTAGGAGAGAAATGCTAACCAATCAGCGTGTGTCACATGTCAGCATTCATTAATCGGGTGCAACTACTTTCACCTATAAGTGCACCTACTTTTGCCCTCAAGTGCATGTAGTTTTTTCCTGCATTCATTGATCGGGTGCACCTACTTTCACCTACAAGTGCACCTACTTTCGCATGCAAGTGCATGTAATTTTGTATTGTTATCATTCATTGATCTGAGTTCAGCGGTAGTAGTATCCCTGAAAACCACTCGCAAACATTCATGCACCTAGGTGCAACTACTTATAACTATAGGTGCAACTACTTATAACTATAGGTGCAACTACTTATAACTATAGGTGCACTTAGTATTGTTGCTCAATGTAAACTTTTACTTGCACTTATAATCCATTTTACATGCACTTGTAATACATTTTACTTGCACTTCGATGTTCAATTATTTACAAAAATGTCACCGCGTTTTTTTTTTAAAAAGCAGTGTTTCTCATCCTTTTGATCTGGACACGTGGATGGATATCATGCATTCGCATATTCGCACCTGGACGCTTCATTCGCACAAGAGTGCATATATATATATATATATATATATATATATATATATATATATATATATATATATATATATATATATATATATGGAAGGGATCAGGTGCGGGTGATGCTTCCCATGCGGTTGTGCGGGTGGACTCACATCAAGCATTACACTGGCGCACTTCAAGTAAACAACAGACGCACATTAAACACACGAACAAAATACATTGAGAACACAAACCCACACACTGTAAGTACAAAATTCACGCATCTTAAGCACAACCCTCGCGCACCTTAAGCACAAAACTCACGCACCTTAAGCCCCAAAAACACACAAACCTTAAGTTTTAACAACAACTCACATTAAGTACACACTCACGCACATTAAGTACAAAACTCACGCACCTTAAGCACAAGACTCACGCACCTTATGCACAAAAGTCACGCGCATTAAGCACAAAACTCATGCACTTTAAAGTTTCAACAACAATTCACATTAAAGTACACACTCACACACATTAAGCACACAACTCACGCACAAGACTCATGCACTTTAAGTACAAAACTCACGCACATTAAGCACAAACCTCAACACCTTAAGCACAAGACTCACGCACATTAAGTACAAAACTCACGCATATTATCACCCACGCAACCGCACGGGAAGCATTCACCCGCACTGGAACTTAAACATATATATATATATATATATATATATATATATATATATATATATATATATATATATATATATATATATATATATATATATATATATATATATATATAGTCGCGTTCTGGTGCGAATGGCGCGCCCAGGTGCGAAAATGCGAACCAATCAGCGCGCGCCACATGTCCAGATCTAGGTGTACATATAGTTATAACTAGGTGCACCTAGGTGAAAGTAGGTGAAAGTAGATGCACTTGTATGTGAAAGTAGGTGCACTTGATCAATGAATGTTAACAAAGCAAAATTACATGCACTTGCAGGTGAAAATAGGTGCACTTGTAGGTGAAAGTAGGTGCACTCGTAGGTGACAATAGGACACGTGGCACGCGCTGATTGGTTCGCATTTCACACCTGGGCGGCCATTCGCACAAGATCGCGCCACTATATATATACAAATTCATGGTCGATTATACACATCCGATGTCAGAGCCTACAAAGCCTATGTCTAAGCCTAGGTCAGAGCTTATCTCAGTGTCTAAAGCAAGAGGACCTACAACATGCAAAAAAAGAAAAAAAAATAGATGATGAACACATCACAGTTGAGTTCGATGAGCATAATAAGCCTCTTGGGTCATATGGAAAGAAGTTCTCATCTTACCTTGGTACTTTGGTTCATCTTCACGTAGATATTAACATCATTGATTGGCATCATGTTCCCCATGGGCTTAAGATACGGTTTGGCAAGATCTTAAGGTAATAACCATTAACTTTATATATTGATCATTTCTTAATTTTATATATGTTAATGTCATGTAAGGTCTAATTATTTATTATTTTATTGTAGTTATTCAGAGAGAGTTTTGATATCATAGATGATTCAAAAAAACAACTGATTTTGAGGATTGCGGGGTTGCATTAGATAGACTTAAAAACAATGTTGGTGTGTGATTTCATAAACAAAAAACACCTTAGATATAAATCTACTACAAAGTTATATGACTACTTGAATGAAGAACAATGGGAGAAATTTGTAGCAGATCGTCAAACTGAGGAGTTCAAGATACACTATGTAATTCACTTGCTTAATAATCATGTTTTATTAGTCTTAATACTTTATTACTATTAACATGTTATTATTTAATGATAAATTTTATTTAAGGTCAAAAGTCAATATGCTAGGGAGTTGCAACATCGAAATGAACATCCTCACTTTTTAGGGTTTAGGAGTTATGTTGGAAAATAATCTGAGTGGATTATGTCTAACCCATTGTCTTCACAATCTTCTTGTACTTCTGTTACATCGACCATAGCAGCTACTACTCGTGGAAAATCAACTAGGGTTGTTTTAGTTAGTGATCTTGAAGATATCATGGAGAAAAACATTTATGACAAAGTGACTGAAAAAATTAGAAAATAAACAATTGAAGAGATGCAATCTAAGTTTGATGTGGTAAACTCTCAGCTGAAATTTTTGATGAAGAATGCACAACTTAGTCCTTTTGTTGGCACACCTACTCGGGGCAGTTGTCACTCTGTTGATCCATTCAGCAGGGTTCAAGTAATATTAAACAAA